TGGAGCAGACGATTACGAAAGCATCTTTGCCGCAACCATAATGAACTTGGGGTTCCTAGAGCAGACGGTCACCAAGGCATCCATGACGCAACCATAGTAACGTTCGTATTCATAGAGCATACGATTACGAAAACATCCATGCCCAAACCATAGTAACGTTCGTGTTCCTAGAGCAGACGGTCACCAAAGCATCCATCACGCAACCATAATAGCGTTCGTGTTCCTGGAGCATAAGATTACAAAAACATCCATGCCCAGACCATAGTAACGTTCGCGTTCCTAGAGCAGACGGTCACCAGAGCATCCATGACGCAACCATCACTCCCATTTGCATGGCAAACCAGCTGTCGGAATGTTAGCAGTAGAGCGCAAAAAACGATAATGAAAAGAATCAACCTGTCTCGTTTGGGTCTAGGTGTTTAGATACTACGCATGCCCCGTAGATCTGAAGTTTTTGGCCTTTGCAAATTGATGCAGGCACTATTGTGCGTTCGGGGGTTGCTAATCCATGCTAATCCAATAGCAGGGAAGTAGCAGGGAAATGTGTCCGCTGCCCATATTTTCAATACCTTAGTACTGTAGAGGATCATACTTGGATTCCCTCCCGCTTATGCTTCTGTGTGTATTGTGCAGAGCATAGTGAAAAGAGAACTGGCATCCTGTCGCAATCCAACCCAAAGCCTCAGATCCTCAAAACCCCGAACCTTACAGGCTTATCAAGCAGCAGCTCTTTGATGCCCAGCGGGATGCTGCAGTCATTTGCACGACAGCTGACGGTTTGGTTTGCCTGGATGTTTTGCGGTCAGGCGTGCTAGGGATATCTTGCAGTTTGCTACGCCCGGATGACCGGTGGGTGGATACTTTGCGGTTGGGCACTGCGCGGAGGAACGAGGACAACGCAGACTTTAAAGTTTTGGACAACCCCATAATGAGGGGTGGGGAAGATGGACTTGCCCTTGACCTAGCTTTTCACAAGACCCTTGATACATGGGGGGTTACGAGGGTCACTCAATCATGCGTTCTCACGGCCGGAGGGGAGGCAAGTCCTTCCTGTGCACCTGGCGATGCTCAGAAAAGCACCCCCCCATGAAATATTGCAGGTGGAGCAATCGAAAAGAAAAAAGTCGGCAGAGACCGCTTGTCTGGGGGACTCGGCTTGTAGCATAGCTTCAGCTGAAATTGCTTATTGAGGCCTTAACCTCTGCTGTGGCCTGAAAACGACTTCCGAGTGCATGCTGGGATATGCTGGGCTCGCCTCGCCTTCAATAATGCATTTTTACAGGGTCAATCCAGAAGGTCAGTGAGTTAGTGGATCCCAATTAAGTTCATTTATTTGTTGTTGCTTCGAACTTCGGGTAATTTGCTTGCAACATCGCAGCTTCCGCGGAGCGGGTGCCAGAAACGAACCATGCGAACCAGACCAGTAACGCATTGACATGTGTTACGATTAAATGTTTTACGGACGCAGGATGTCCGTTGTCCCACGCAAGGCAAGCCAGTGTGGCCGAATCATAGATTGAATCACCCGCGCAAACCTGACGGCAGACTCATTTGCTGAAGTGTTTGGGAAGCACAACCTCTGGCTGCATCGCATGGCTGAGCAGCGCTTGTCATAGATGCCAAAGGCAAGCATGTTTTTGTGTTTGCTTCGAAAATTCGTGCTGCCGAGCTGTCGCAATCGGCGACAGAGAAGGCAATCGTTTGTCCAAGCATTTCGGCAAATGAGCGCGGGCCCTAGAAGTGTGGAACCGCAAAAAACGATGCTAATACTTTGCCGCAATGATCTGACCGTCAGTCGTTGGATTCAAGGCCAAGGCCATCTTATGTGCTCAGAATTCTTGGTTGCGTATCGTAATTTCTGACTAACTGCTCCATATCCTCAGCTAACATGCAGGAGCAAGTAGGCAGGCAAGCATAGCTATAGAACCATGTGTCCGTGATGAAAGACATGACTGCATTGTCCCTCATTCATACATCTCTAAGATTGCTCCATGGCATTCGAGCTATGTTCAGTTACTTATTTGGCACATCGAATGAAGGGCGCGACCCGCCCACCATCCAGGAAGGTCACAAAGCTGTGGAAGTGGTGATAGAAGGGGAGCGCCTCAAAGTCGATGTGGATGTTTTAGCCGACGTGTCAGGCTTATTTCTTCAAGTACAAAGCACTGATGCGAAGGAATGTCCGCTGCTAGATTTCCCTGGGGGATTAGAGCGGTTTCGGGACATTGCCGGTTTCCTGGTTGATGGAGAGACGCTTGCAGTCACAGAGGAGACAGTGTTGGATTTGATGGAAGCAACATGGCTGCTGGAATGCCCACGCTTGTTGGATGATGTCATGGAGTCACCGTTTGCAAAGTCATTATCATCCAGGAGACGGGCGGAGATACTGGAACATATTTTGCCATATACAGCGGCAAGCAGTCCTGCAGATTCGGAACATGCGGCGGACATGCTGGCGGCAAGGGCAGATGAGATGAGTGTGCTGGGGAGCTGGACCGAGCATGGCATGGTCAGTTCGTCCCAGTCCGTCCATCCATCTTTAGCATGCGGGCAATTCCTGAGGTTGTTCCAGTTCGAGACACTCATGTGGCAAACCACAGAACGTGCCGCAATTCGACTCGCATCGCAACTGGATTCCGGAGACTTCATTTTAGGCCCGCGGTTGGCAACAGGCAGTTTGCGTGTTTGTGCCGAATTGTTGCGCTTACAACGCGAGCGGGAAGAAGAAGCTGGATTTGTGACAACGGCCATGCAGCCAGTCAGCGCCTTGTGGAAGCATTTTGGTTGAAACCATTCAGCAGGTTCCTATTGTTGTCAATCCTGTTACAATCATAACAAGTGTTTGCTGCCGTGTGTCCAGGGTTGCCTTTGCGTTTTCACATTGTTGAAATGGCAGCCAAGGAATCTGATGGATAAACCGTTGCGTGCGAAAGTATCTTGGGACTCCCATTTGTTTGCTCTGCGCTGCATGCGGCGCCGCCTGGCAGCAGCAGCACCTCCATCCTTGGCATCCCGTAGCAACGCGGAGATGGCTGGGGAGCTGAAGGAAGATGAGCAGGCGCACACTGACATACCCATGGAGCTTTGCGAGACGGCGCAGGATTCAACGCTGATCTGCTTTGTGGAGTTGGTAGGCTTTGTTGATGTCGAACGGTTGTTTCCCAACTGGTCGGCTTTGTTGATTCGAACGCTGCTGCTGCTGGACCCGCCGGGAGAGACAACCAGTGCAGGCTATCCTATGCAAGCCCGGAAGATGTTCAAGGCAACGTTTGCCGGAAGCATTCTCGTGCAGAGATTGGCTTGGCATCCGCCAGCGCCCGTTCCACCGGCCTGGCTCGCCGATGTTGTTGCTCACCCTGATGCATCAAAAGCCCTTCTTCGTGTGTTGGCTCGTTATCGCGTCATGGAAGCTGAGGAGTTCTGCGATTTGGTAGAGCACGTTCTGCTTTCCCAGTTTCTTTCGTGGGGCCACTGCAATGACACAATTCTCAAGAGTGAGCTTGTGAATGAGTTAGTTGGGGCATGCTTGGACGCTGGCCGCAAGTCTGCAGCTCTGCCTGGCAATGTTATTCCTGCCCTTGGTGAGCGGAGGTGTCCTTCACACTGGGCTGGGCAGCATGTCTTATGGCGTCTTGAACACTTGGGTCGCAGACTTTTTGATGTGGCTTTCGTTTTCCAGCAGGGCTTCCTGCCACACTCTTGGCCTGACTGCCTTGATGGGGATTGCCACGCGGAGCCCGGCCCTGTGCTGCGGGTCGTGGCAGCGGAAGATGATGTTTGTTGCCCTCAGCCACAGGTTGTGGAAGTGGAGGGAACGTGCCTATGGGATGAAGGCTTGCTTACAATTCCGTTGCTTCGGCCGACAATGATGGAAGGTAGAGCGCTGACTGATAAACCAATTCTGCATTACGGACGTCAGGTCATCATGAGGCACCTATGGTACAAACACTCGGGGACATATTGCGAGGTACCGAAACTCAAGAGCCTCTGGGACTTGGCGTGTTGGTCTCTTTGCGAAGATGCAAGTTTGATTCGCCAGGCACTTGAATACTTGAAAGGCACCTACAGGGAGCTTTGTGGACCCGGGGGCAGTTGGACAGCAGACTGCGAAGAAGCCATTTTCCAAATGTTTTTAGCTATCGATTTGTCAGTGTTACCCATTCAGGCTTTGCAATCACCTTGGGTACCTGTACAGGTGCAAACTGTTCGTCTGTTTGTGCAGCAACAACCGGCTGACCGGTTCCACGAAGAGCTGCAGCAGGAGGTTGCCAGAGCTACCGAGCATCTAGAGTCAATTTCTCTCCAGTGTTCGAAGCTCAGCGAAAGGCTCAATGTGGTAGAGCAGCGAACGGTCATGAACAAAAGCCAAATCAGCGAGGCGAGTGTTGCTCTTGAAGAGCATCAGCGCCGCAAGCGCGAGGCATTGAAGTAGCTTGGAAAGAAGAGCCAATGCTTTCGACCACTTCTGGAAAAGTCACGCACATCGTGCTGCACGAGCCTTTTCAGCAAATAATCTGCCGGAATAATGCCATCTAATAAGTGCAGCAGCGCTGACCGGCGTATTCAAAAGGGCTTGAGATGGCTTGATCAGTGCACTTGTCTTCGTCCCGCAACGCCTGCACAGACAATAGGTCCCTGTAGGTCTCGCAGTTTTACTGGACCTGGCTGGGTACGCTGTTTCCGAGCACATAGATGCCTATGCGACTCACGGCCAACTGTGCAAACTGTGTGTGGCTTTGCCAGATCCAAGACAGACCCTCAGCTTGCTCCCCAATGACAGCCCAAGACAGGTTTATGCAGTTGGAAGGATTTGGGGGCCGGTTGTTGCATTTTTTGCCCGCCAGTCGCTGTCTTCAGCGCACTTGCATCGCTCTGGCCTCAAGTTATCATTGGGGTCCGGCATCGCCAGGACGTGCCAAGAAACGTGTGCAGAGGTGCCATGCTTTTCAACTTCAAGCGGTTGAGGAATGGCCTAGTCAGATGCATTCAGAAGTGCAAGCTCAGAGAAGACAAGTACCTCCAGCACTCAGCCCTACCGATCGGCTGAAGCCCACTTCGATAACCTGAGATGTGGTTTTAAGTTCTGGTTGTTCACAGAGAAGAACTAAAAGGTCCAGGTTCCAGTCTGCTCATTGGATCCTTCTATGGGAAGGATCCGAGTACTTCCGACGAGCCATGGCTCGAGCCGGGGCCCATCGCTGCCGGTGTTGCCCTTGCGGTGCATGCGGAGCCTTGCGCCGCGGCAGCATCAGATGGAACTGGGCACACTAACTGGATTCTGAAAGCATTCGAACTCACTAGTGCTGAGAGGTGAAAGCCTTAGCGGCTGCCAGCATAGCTTCCACAGAAATCGCGCAGGCTCGAACAGTGCATCTGCAATTTGCAAATTGTTTTCGGTGACTCGGTTGCTTGCATCCTGCGCAGGGGTGGCTGTGTCCACATGTTGGAGGCCTGCCCTTTACATTCATTGCTGTAGACTTGAGCTCGCGTGGGCCCAGGACCAGCAGCCTTGCCATTGGCCCGAACCAGATATCCGCGTCGATCGCGACGATTCGTGCAGAGAGCTGCCTCCCAGGCAGGGGGTAGGTCAACAGAATTCAACGGGCACTCGCACCTTTTTCTTTTTGCTTGGGCAGGCTGACCCAAACCTATGGCGGCAAGCACGTGCCTAATTTAGTTTTGAGACTTTCTGACGTTGAAAATGTGTGTGTGGCTGTTTACAGCTCAGGCCCCTCAAGAAGCGCTGAAAGATGCCCTGGCGCAAGCAGATGCCAAGTGGCTGCTGCTTCAGACAGAGGCACGGGCCTTGCTCATGTCCAACGCATGCCTGGTGTTTTCAGACCATGGCAGGTAGATACAGCAGGGGCAGAAAGCGATCGACGCCCGGCAGCATGAGCTTTGCGTCCTTTGCTGTGGTGATTACACATGGAGAACACAACACGTCGTATTGGGCAAATCTGTGCCCCATGCATCGATTTTCTAGTCCCTGTTCAAGTTGAGCGACATATTTTGCTAGGGCTTGTCATTGATGTGCATTTGGCATTGGCCAGCCAAGGGGCGGCTGCACAGCAGGCCCCATCTGATCAGCCAGCAGGGCGATGTAGTGCTAGTTGATGCTACTCGTTACTACTCGCAGAACGATGGGTGCTTCTGATAGAGGTGTTCGACTGGTACTTTTTTTCAATTTGTATTTGAACAGCTTGAGCCTCTGAGCTGATTTGTGCAGCGCTGCGCGACAGCGGCAGCATTGATGGCAGCCAGCGCCTTAGACAGGCCGGGCAAATGGTGCATAGCATATGGTTTCAGTTTTTGTCCTCAGCCAGGTTTGATAAGCCTCGAACTTGCAATAGGGATAGTGGAAAAATGCAAACTACTACAGTATAATAGGGTATATATATTGGGGTTACATAGGAAAAATGGAAAATAGCATGGAAACAACTATTAGGCGTAGCTCAAATACTTGGGCCTATGCGATAGGCATAAATCAAAGGCGACCGGCTTTGCCCTAGGGCTTGGTACTTAAAATTAACATTCTTTTGACTATATTTTTTGTACTATTACCATTTCTGTTGTGATTAAAGTTAGTATCAACACTATTATTACTAGTGTTACTATGATGATTTTAATCAATCTTACTACCATTATGGGTGCTTCTGACTCCTTGTTCCTAAACTGCCCTCAGGCATCCCACGCATGTTACTGAAAGAAATACAAACCTGCATGGTCACAAGTGTTGCTAGTGAATTACCAGTTGAGCGCTATTTTTCTTGGCCTGAAGCACTTGACGACCTTTGGCTTAACATAGTCTTAAGCCTGTATATAAAAGACGCGGCCTGTGTTGGCCTGTGGGGCAGACTGCCATTGTTTATGAGTTTTGGCCGTTGGCTTGCCAGGCTGAGACCGTACACGATCCCAGCTGCCTATCTTGACATACCACCCCTCCGTGGTGCGGAGGACTTTGCTTTAAGGGCTTTGTGTGGAAAGGGCCTTGGATTGTTGGTTTTGCAGAGTTGTCTGAGAGTTTACTTTAGGCAGTGGCTCGACTGGAGCGCAGCTTCAAAGCAGGATGCGCTGCTCGCATTCCTGGGGCCAGAGGTCAGCAAGCTGGTGTTCAACTTCCTCTCGCAGGCTTTCAAGACAAAGCCAGAAAATCGTGGCAGCTCTGCCGTTCACAATCTGCAAAGGTGGAACAGCTTTCTGGCGCCGGCAGAGCTTTCTGGCAGGCATGCTAGGGCCAGACTGTCATTGGAAAACTTCTGCCAGTGACGCGGATCTGGGCCCGTCCTGCTTTTTCCTCACTGTGGACTTGGCAGAAAGGCCGAGTTATACCTGCGTGAGCTGGACACCGTTGCCGGGGAGACGGAGGCGCCTTCTGCCTTTGAGGGCCCAGGCTTGCCACTGTTCAGCATTCGCAGGTGCAGGAGGCAGCGACGGAGGCAAAGGAGAAGGTGGAGGCGGAGCCCGTGTGGATCTCAGATCTCCGTCAGATGTATACGCCCCAAAAGCTTTCCCCAAAGCTTCGCACTTGGAGTCTGCAGAGCATCCACGCGGCAAATAGTAACATGCCCCCCCGAGGAGGAGATGCAGAAGGCCATCCGTGGTAGCGCGGCAGCCTCGGACAAAGTCCTGCCCAACCACAGGAAGACAGAGAAGCCCTATCAAGCGCAAACCATTTCTGTATCCTGACTTGCTTGTGCTAGCTGCTAACTGCAAGTTCGTGTCCTACCAAGCTAGGACTTACAGCAATCCTTCATCTCAAATTCCTTCAGCTACAAGTCTCCGTCTGGATCTTGCCTAGCCTAGAGAAGCCTGCAAACTGACATGAGGTGCTCCTGGCCCGTCAAAACTACATCTCAGCAGCCCGTTTCGGATACTTCCTGCGTCGTGGTCTACAGCGCCATGGGCTCAGACAACTCGTTAAGGCTGACGCAGCGCAGTCTGCATTCAACCCCTGCCCGGTCCATCAGGCCCCAAAAACCTTGCTCCCTGCAGAATCCTTGAATAAAAGTTGCTGCATTCTGTCATGCCTTGTTGAAGATCTTGTTTCTGCTTTTGGAGACTACTGGGCTGTTCAAATAGCAAGCACAACACGTCAGGCTGATTCCCAAGGATGCTCAATCAGGTAAGTTCACCTGCCCCAAGTCTGTTACATGGTTAGGCTTCACCATGTTTTGCTGGCGGTTTCCTGGATTCTCAGAGCTCGACTGAAGGGCATAAGAGGTTGCCCAGGATGAAAGCAGTATTAGGGTTAGGAACGCATCGCCTGATCGGCTGGTGCTCATAACGGAAACTGTTTCGTATGGGTTGTGTTTTTTTCAGTGAATGGATGATAGCAGAAATTCCTGCCAGCTACTGTAGTGCTCCTTGGGCATTGCCGTCATGCTGCGCGCTTTGTTCAGTGTTGTGCAGTAGGATTCTAGCATGAACATGGAGCCGTGATCTTGCCACGGTTCTGCCCGCCAGACACAGAACTGTCATCCGGTGGCGTAGCTTGAAATGTGGATGTGGGAAGCTGGCTGTTTGGTTGTAACCCGGAGGCCTGGAGCTCGAGAAGTCTTTAGGCCAAGGCGATCGGAAAGTCGTTGGATTGCAGCTGTGGAATTACTCAGCGCTGCATTCAGCTGGAGGCAGCTCAGCAAGCTTGTCAGAGTGGATGGAGCCGTGCCCTCTGAGCTCATTGCTGGATGAGCTGCTTTGGCCTGTGTGGTGAGGAAGCTATCGCCCGCAGATGCCGTGGAGCTGGCCCGTGCAGTGCGGGCCTCAACAGCAATCTCCATCCGTTTGCAGCTCGTGGCACAGCACCCCCTTGACAAATTTTGCAGGAAAATACATGTTGCGAAACCTACGCAGTGGAGCCCTGCCTATAAATACGGAGCTACTGGCACGTAGGTCATGATTCTGCCTCCCCGACTTGGTTAACATCGCAATGTGCCAATGCATTCGGCACCTCGCTCGTGCGACGCTCACAACGATGATCGTCGTTGCGTTGCAACGGCCATCCTGCCATCGGCTCGTGATGATGGACGTTCTTGCTGCGATTGAAACTATACTTGTGTTGGTTTTTGTGTCAGTACCTTAGCCTGCCATTAGCTGTTTCCTGTAATTACATACCGTTTCGTTTCCATCACCACAAGGCCTTGTAAAGTTTCCAACCCGTGACTAGTGAGAGAGAACGGAAACGTACTCCTTGCACAGCCCTGGCTGAGGCCACCCGCGAGGCCCAGCGTGCAGTGCAGCACCAGGCCTCCGAGCTCTTTGGCAGCGAGGCCCCGAGGATGTGGGAGGAACTGCTGAGGTTCGTTGATGCAACTTTTGGTTGCACGCTCTGCTGGGCAACCTTGATACTGCAGGCATCAGGCAAAGGGCAGCATGCTTTAACTAAGGCATGCCCATTTTACAGGTTGGATTCACATGTGAAATCATGATTATGCACGATGATGCAGGGTGAGGCCTAGCTGATCGTGCTAATCACCGGTCACACAAAAATCTAGTTGCACATGAATCAAACCCAAAAAGGCACATGCTCAAGTTCAAATGCTGCCGCACTACTTCTGTCTGACTCGTCTGAAGAATCCGCAGCCCCAAATGCTTTGAATGAAGCTTACAAGCTGCTCGTGAAGGTCAATTTCTGGAATGTGCACCCGCTACGTGACTGAAACAATGTTGACTTCACAGGCAAACTGTGACGACATGGGTGACACTCAAACTACTTGTTCGTTAACCTCAACGTTAGCGGCGAGTGGACTGCCTGGCACGAAGAGCACAACTAGAAGCCTTTGGGCAAGTAAGGGGCACGCAATATTATCTTTGCCCAAAATGCCTCATGAAGCAAGCTGAAGCGCAACGAGCAGTGCATGATGCCCGACGGCGAAGAAGAAACGGATCATCAAGTATGCGATTGTGTGCGTTTTGAAGATCCCCTTACCCTAAACCCTGAGCCCTATGGAGGTCAAGCTGCTCCGACAGCTGGACTATGGACCTGATGCGGTTGAGCAGCTCCAGCTCTCAGGCCGGTTCGCAGTTGTCCCTGGAGGAGAGTTTTAAACGGAATCCTCTCAAATGTTGACAATTCTGCACCATCTCACTTGCTTCAGCCTTCCTTTTGGCTCGCCTGTGAGGCGAGGGCCGAAGGCGTTTGAGCCTGGAGGCGGGGCCGCGGCTCCAGAATGGATGATTTACACGCTGGGGATCGCTGGGGGCTACATACAGACTGCCAAATGCAGCGGCATCTAGTTGTAAACGGCACGACGGGCAGTATGACAAAGATCAGCCACCAGGGTGGGTTACGTTGCAAAATTCTTGGTGTTACAAGAATGAAGCGAAGTCTACCCGGGCATCTATTAGTTCAGGGCCCTCTGGTGCCAACGCGCCTCGAAGACTAAGGTCCAGTGAAAGGCACGCCTGAATCTGATTCCAAAGCGGTATGACTTGTGATGGCATCCGTGACAACAAAAACTTTCCTGCAAAAGTTGGAAGCAAGATCACCCAAGCAACGAAGCAACGAGCTTGGGAGGCAGCTGCTTTTGGTGCTGCCCTCTTCGATGCAGAGTCAGCGGCTGCTAGGCGCTACAGGCCGACAAGTGGCTTGCCTCGGTATGTCCCGACAATATCATTGTTATTGTAAGCATTGAACAAAAGTCCCCCTTAAGTAGATAGAATATGGCTTTGGGTACATCATAATATAATGAGATCCCCATATACTCCATATTTTATCTACTTAAGGGGGATTATGTTTATATCCCCATCTCCAGGCCTCCCGAGCACTGATTGCCAGGCTCGACTACACGGCTCCTGGAAGCCGTGCTGATGGACCACTGAGCTGAACGGGCAAGTGAAAGCTGTGGGCCTGGCCCAGAAGCAATGCAAAAGATTGTTGTGATTCTCCTTGCTTATCTTGGGCAGCTGGAAGCGCTTCTGCTGACGTACGTAGTTGCGCTTTGCAAACGCAGGCTCTTGAAAGGCGAGCGTTGCAAGATGTTGAAAGGAATACAAAGGAATGAACGATTAGGAAAGGACAACGAAGAGAAGTAAAGTGCAAATGTGAAGGCGGAAAAGTAATGAAAGGAATGCTTGGTGAAAGCGATGCCAAGCTGCTGAACAATTGCGCTTGCCATGCAAAAAAAAAAACTCTGCTAGGGCTCTGCCCTGCTTGCTCAAGTCTTCAAATCCATCCGGGCCACGCGGCCCAGAGAAAGGACATCCAGATTCGTGAGCGTCTGTCTTTGGCTGAGTAGCAGTGCAACCTGAAGCCTGAAGCGCTGTAAATGCAGCATGCCCGTCAGATTGTCTGTGCTCCTCAACCCATCCTGAGCGTCCCGCGTCTTGCTTCAAGGTACACAGCAAGAGGCCCTGCACACACATGAACGCAAAAGGGCACATGCATACCTTGTCTAGATAGTCGCTGTGCAAATGCGTGCAAGGCCCTCGGGGTAAAGGATGCTGTGATCAATGACTTAGCCCACCCTTCTACAGCAGCCATGCTTGCAAACAAGCCACGACTCATGCCATCTAGGAAAAGGTGTCGCAGCTTGCAAACAATTGGATATTGAGTGGAAGTTTGGCCTCCGTCCGTTCGGGATGTGCTGGACGTTGCCAAGCTCATGGAAGACGCCAGAGCACCAGAGCCTGATGGCACAGCGGCATCCTGCCTGCATGCTGGGGAATAGTATTCGGAGCATACTCCAAGACAGATGTGGTCAATTGATGATTCAAGGGAAGGTGAGATGTAAGCCGCTTGGTTTGTTTGCGCATCAGCTCACCCATGTGAAGGTGGCGGAACCACTTGAGCCGCTGCAGCGTGGTGAGGCTGTGCCCGCAAACACAATTTGTTAGATCATGATGGGGCACGCCTCAGTTGGTTCAGGCTGTCATTTTTGGGGAAGGCCGACAGGGTGTTATCACGCGGGCAGCGGCCTTTGTGATCGTGTTAAGCTCTGCAGAAGCATCGGCAGTCCTTCCGGAGAATTTCGGAGACTCATGTTTGAGGCCTATGTCCTAGAGGACAAGTACGCTGTCCGAGCGGATGGCGCAGCTCGAGAGGTCCCTCTCGCTTGCTGTTTGGGCGGCGACGTGGTGCAATCGGGGCACAGGTCAAGGGGCCCAACAACAGCTTTTTCTATTTCAAGCGCGGCGGCCTTTGCTTTCGAGCGTTTTGGCTGTCTAGCAAAGGCGCGATCTTTTACCATCCATGCTTGGAGGCCAGGACCTTCAACGCGCATGAAGCCTGGAGTACGTTTCGTGTGCTGCACATGCCCATACCAATCTCCTCTGGCCTTGTGGTTGCAGCAGTGTCTCTAAGGTCTTGCCGCTGAACGGGGGAGGTATGGACACGTTTGCCGAACTGGCATCGAATGGCGAGCATGCGTCTGAGATGACGGCACCTGCCAAACTGCCGAAATCCATTGAATCATGTTTACGAGGATTTTCTGTCTTTTGCAAGGCCTCCAGAAAAGAAGCCGCGGCTTGAACCTACAGAGGCCGGCAACGAGAAGCCCTGGATTGCCATGACTGCAACTGTGGATGTGCTCAATCTTGCAGAGGCACCGTTGGCAGTCCCCACAGGCAGGGCCCCAAGTGCTTCGAACAAGCCCATGCCCATGTGCAAAGTGAAATCAATTAAGCTCAACTTGCTCGACTCGACCGGTTGTGCATCGCTTCTTTCAGCAGCTGTGCAAAGCCAAACCACGGAACTCATGGCTTTGATGTGCGACTGGCAGCTGGTTGCTGGTGCGGCTCTGGCATTCTGGAAGTCTTAGCGCGTGGCATCCGTGGCATATTGCAGGATGAGCAGCCGAGCCAGCACTGAGCACTTGGCGGCAGCACGTGCCGTCGCTGCACGGATGGCAGCCACGGCAGTGTTGGCTGGTAGATCAGCTGCAGCTGCGGTACGAAGCCCTAAAGCAAATTGTTCAGCTGGAAGTTTTGCAAACGATGTGGCAAATCGGGCCATGGCTGCTGCAGCACTGCGAGCAGTCGGGTCTATACACACTAAAACTGCAAATGAGGCAGAAATGCAGAATTGCATAAAGGCCTCAAACCTGGATCCATTCATTACGGATATTTGTCACGATCGTCCTATCAACAACCGGCCCATCATGCAAGGTTGCTCAGTAACCAGGGTTCCCACAGCGACGGATTCTGAGCGAGATGACACGCAAATCTGTGAGTGGGACGTCAAGGTGCAACGAACGTTTATCACAGTCGTGCCGCACTGCCCAAAGCTCACATACACAGCCCCCTGCCTGAAAATGGAAGTCGCATTCTTCAGTACATTCAGTACGGAGAGCATTCTGTGCAGCACTTAGGCGAGTGCACCTGCCCGTCTGGATCGCCCACGCCTACGGCGGCGGCGGATTCGACCAAGCAGACGGAGACGCTAAGCCGCTAAGCTGCTAAGCTGAGCACGGAGCGCAGGCCGGGTCGCTGTGGATTCAACAGACTGCCATCAAGTTTAGGTCCAACTGCTCAGCTGGGTTCATCACCTTACTAGTTGCCAATGTTTTGTGTTTCACCATCCTCATTGAGAAAGTGCGGCGGGTGTTGCGTGCACAGTAGAAGGGCAGAGCTGCCACTTCTCCGTTTATGGTTTCACCCGCGGAGCAGCAAGGTTTGAGCACCTGGTGAAGTTCGGGAGGTGGGTTGCAACATGCAGCCACGCCGTGGCTGAAGCAAAAAGCAAAAAGTTGATTCACAGGCAGTCCCTCGTGCAGCATCACCGCTTTTTCTGCAAACAGCATGAGGGACCTGTTGGGAGTGGCTGGGGGAGCAAGATCAGCAACAGCACTGCCAGTCATACTGTGAAATGAGACAACGTTGCTACAGATGGTAGGGACTTCGCAATGCCCGCAGCTATCTGATATGATCTAAAGTACGCTAACTAGCGCAGCATGATAGTAGCAGTTTTCATGCTGCACCAGAATGCAGGTGGCATAAGAAGCGCGTAGTAGTCGTTGTAGATGCTTCAGTAGCTGGGCCCAGGTCCTCCTCGGTTTGAGGGTCGCGTTAAGTGGTTCAGCCGGCAGCTCAAGCGGACAGCTCGCGGAGTCTTTTTGGCTTCAGCTGAGCGAACCGTTGCGGGAGGCAAAGAGAAGGGCTTTGGCAAGATTTTGCCAAGTGCAGCAGCTGGCCAGTTGGTCGACGAGGCGGCGTGCATGGTCCATGGTTATACGAAAACTGCTGGCTTGGCAGACAGCATCTGCCAGGTGTTTGTCCACAAGAGTCGCTTTGAGGGAGGACCAGAGGGACCTCATGCGCAGGCTGGGCGGGTCTCCATGCTGGCCTTGACCTTCGCAAACCATTTGTGCTATTGTTGGCAGGCAGTCTCCGAAGGGGTTTTGGTCACCTACGAAGTGATCACTTCTCAAGTTGACGGGAAGCCGACTGCGTGCAACGTGCAGGTCAGGGGCTCTGAGGGGATGCATGTCTTACAGCACAAATATCATGATCCCTTGAATGTTTTTGGCTTTGCTGGTCCGCATTGAAGCTGGAGTCACATGTGGTGCAAGAATGCGAGAGAACACCTTGGCCATTTTGACCTGGCTTGGTACGACGCAGCCACAGGCTCTAATCACACATGGTAGGCCGGCCAGTTGAATCTGATATCATGAGCCCGAGGCTTTGTGCAACGCAAGGGCATATGCGTATCCGACCATCGCACGGCAAACATTCATGAAGGTTGTCCGGCCAAGGCAACAATACGCGTGCTGTGGGCCACTGTAGCTACAGAGTTAGGGCCCTCCAAGCCGTGCATGTCAGTTTCCAGCTGCGATGAGGCCTGGGCTCAGATGCAAGCACCGTAGTTGTCAAAAAATGCAAGCTGGTGCCAATGCTGGTTGCGAGGATTGCGAGGATTCCGCGCGGGAAGAACCGGTCACGGGGATGAAGCTGCTGCTAAGCGAGGAGGCTTTCGGAGCTCTGAAGAGATTGCAGGCCCGGTCCTGAAGCCGAATTCATTTTGAGAGAGCAGCTCCAGACACTTGAGTCACACTGGCCTTCAGGAACATAGGGTGAACTCCAGCGCTTCTTCTAGCTCCACGGAACCCTCAGCCTCCACTGACCTGCCATCTTCACCAGAGGCAACGGGGCATGGACCTGCTTACAGTGCATAGTGGACTTAGTGGCCGTGCAACGACAGACTCCTGCCTAGAGGCATCGATCCTAACAGTGGAGCAGCGACTTCATCATCTCAGACTTGCCTTAGCAGCGCCGGAAATCCTGGCACTTCAGCTGGACCAGAGCATTTCACCCTCTTGCTGGTGTCTTTCATTGGTGTTTGGAATTCTTGACAACACAAGGATGAATGGATTCTGGCTGGTAATGTCGAATCCCGATTAGTGCGAGGATCCCACCAAAAATAAAGTTTTTCGAAAATGATTCTGGACACCCTATTCGATTTGGGGGATCCCAATAAAGTAAAGTTTTTAGGCCGGAAAAGAAATAATTGAAGTTTTGATAGAATTCCTTTCTAATTGATTTTGGAAAGGTTTTCGATGATTTTAATTGGGTTTTAATTGCTTTCACTAGGTTTTCAAGACGAGGCCTTTGCCGAAGACCCTGCCCTTCCTATTCTCTTGAAAGCTAGACCGAGCAAGTCCTTATGGATTCAATAGGAGCCGAGGGATCCCTCTTCCTTTATTGATTTTAGCAGGAGCCATAGGATCCCCCAGACCCCCAAATTCGTTCTGAGGCCTTTGTAGTATGGGGACTCCCCTTCTTGTTTGGGGGGGGCCGCCCCCCACTAATCAGGATCCAACATTAGGGTCAGATCCAAGCCAAATCCGAACAAGAAGAGTTGCCTGAGGAAGAGCCTCGGCGTCCAGAGAGGAAAGAACAGCGGAGGAGGAATTTCCCTTTTGCAGTTCTTGTGGCAAGAGGAAATTTGGAAGAAGGGTGCTTTCCTTGCAGGCCGCTTGCAAACCTCTGAAGTGAAAGTTCCTGTTACCTTTGGTGATGCCAACGCTGTCATGGGCTGAGATTGGCGCTGATCTGCAGGAGACATGGGATGGAGGTGGCGACCTCGAGCTCTAGTGAAAGCTCTCAAACATCATCAGATAGCAAGCCCTCCGCGCAAAGCGGAATTTATGCCCTGATTTCGGTGGTCGGCATTGTCGAAGGCCAGTTCTTCCTCGTGTAGTAAGTCCTGCCATGTCACTCCCAGATGATTCCCTGCATGCAGGAGCTGACCTCGTTATGCTCCCGGTTCTTGCGTCCTCCTTGCAAGCCGACCTCAATATGTCGCAGGATGACTTTGACCTCCTTGTAGTTGTGCAGGCGTGTGGTTTTCTTTGCATAAAGCGCCGATGCTCACGAGTCGAGCCGATGCAGCTTGTTGCTGTCAAAAAACTACAAGGGTGAATTTGCAGTGTCTCTTTAGCAGGCGCTATGCTTAGCTGTGGCATCACCAGTGTGGGCAGCTGCGGGCCCAGATGAACCCAAGTGTGAGAGATTTTGTGCAAACTTACCTAGCCGAAGCAAGTGGATTTCGCAAGGCCTTGGCTGACAGTGCAGCAGCCAATCGAAAGACCCTTATGGTGCTGGGCGCCTTCCTTCAGGGGCTATTCACTTGCCTCCTTCCAACGGCAGCATCGCGCGTGCCGAGATTGCATGTATAGTTTGAATTGACTTCCGGCGTTCGGTCAAAGTGAGTCATAATGAGTCACAAGCATTCGAATGGCGGACAATATAGGCAGTCATGGTAATGTGATGCATTTTCTGAGGTGCCCCTGCTGGCACTTGGCGCGCTGAACGCGCTGGCCAAGGCCTCGCTGCGTCCCGTCAGCTTCGGCCTCATCGCAGAGGCCTCCTCCTTTGGACGCAAGTTCCGTCGTAAAACGAGATTTAACTCCAACATTAAAATGCTCCGGAGAAAGGAACACTGCATAGAACGTGGTTGCAGAATGAGCGTCGGAATCATGACCAGCCGCTGCTCAAATGGCTGTAAACAGAAGGCGGTGCTAGTACGGCTGTGAGAAAGCCAGGTCACACGCGAATTCCGCGGATTGGCTTTCGGGGTCCTGTTTGCAGCACTTCACGCAGGCCTCCCTTGGCAAAACGTGGAACGTTGTTGGAAGAGTGTTTTTTGGCCCTGTCAGGCGTTGGCTTGGCCTTTCTCCTCAGCCCATGGCTTGCGACACAGCATTTTTTGGGTATTGAGGTGCGACAATTGCGATATCCAGACTTTACGTGATGTGGGATGAAGTTTCTTGAAGCCAGGGCTGGAGGCTCCCCGTGCTCAGCGTCGGTGTTGTTTCAATTTTGGCCAGCTTCATTGCAACGGCCTCAGGTACATCACATCATTGTTTGGGAGAGTTGCAAGTCTTAAGGCTTAAGGGTTGTTGTCGTGTCCGAGTGAGACCCTGGCGGCAAGAGGACGTAGTTTGTTCCCTGCTTGTCATCCGCATAGTATTTGGCTTGGTGAAGGAAATGCTGTAGTGTGCTCTGTGTTACCTCGGTTCCAACGCCGCATCCTTTGCAACACAGGCGTCTCACTCTCTGTAATGCCGCTGTCAGGCGGAACTGCTCGGATCCTCTTCGTGGGAAACTCGCTGACCTATTGGTCGGGAGGGCTGGACAGCATTTTCCGCAACTGGGGTTTTGATGCTTTCGCGGAGACCATACCAGGAGCCACGCTAGCCAGACATTGGCGATCAGGGCAAGCAAAGGCCAAACTCCTTGAGGGTTGGGACATTGTGGTGCTGCAGGACGACCTGCCCGAATATAAAACTCCACCCGTCGCGCCGTCCAAAGAACGGGAGCGTTGGCACGTGCTATGTGCGCAATTTGTCCCAGTAGTCTCCAAATTTCTGGACGTGAGCAAGGCTGCAGGGGCCGTACCGATACTTTTCATGGCTCATCCGTACGAGCGATTGGCGGACACAACTTTGCGAGATATTTGCTGGGCGCACAAGTATGCAGAGGCCAGTCTTGACATTCGCGTTGCTCCCGGCGGATTAACACACAGCCTGGCTGCGTCGTGCCAAGAGCTGGAAGAGTACGAGGTCACGATGCTGGATGAGGATCTTGAGCACCCATCCGAGGAAGGCCTATACTTACACGCCCTGGCCATTGCAGCGGCCTGTTTCGGTGAGGAAAGAGTCCGTGATCTGCAATGGGCCCCAGCCTCACTGCCAGACTCGTGTGTGGACATTTTCAAGCAGCTCGCCTACAGCAGTCTTGAGGCATGGCATGCCTACCCTGAGCCACCGCACAGTGACACAGTCACGTCGCTTCCAACTGTGGCCGTACCTCTCGCAAAAGCCGACGACACGGATACCATCATCACATGAGAGAGCATGCTGAAATGATACAGGCTGTCCAGCCATTTCCAACTGCAACCTGACATGTCAGTGCTGTGTAACTGATGCAGGGCATGTCGCAGGCTTGGGCGGCCATTATGATAGAGAAGAACCGTACGCGAAAACATTTGGCCACACACCCTCCTGCCACGAAGGCGGGTAGCCAGTAGCTCTTCGGAAGCATCCCGGAACAGAGGCACGAAACAAAAGGCCGACACCAATGATGGCGGTGTTCGCAAAACAACGTGCATCAACTCAGAGATGATATTATCTGCGTACGGTGAACCTTCACTGCTGCTGTTGCGCTTATGCGTAGCTTCCAGCACACAGATTATCAGCACTGTTCCTCCTCCCCCGTTTCGTATGTCTTGCTGCTACTTTCAGAAGTGAAATTAAGGTTGCGGCACCTATGTTTAGAAAAGTTGCTGTCATAACGTTCCCCCTGTTCTGCGTGTTGAAAGTTTGTACAGTCAGCATTGCGTGGACACTGTCTTCAGGTTTCGCTACTGCTGCACGAGCCGGCGCGCGAGCCACCCGCTGTCGACGAAGAACAAGGCCAGGCTCCAGGTTTCTGGAAGGTTCATTCTTGCTGAGGGGATGAATGTGCTTTTCATCAGCCTTTTCATCATGAGTTGTGCGTGGGCATGTTGGCAGGAATATCGGACATTACAGGATCTTGAATTTCTCGCGGCTGCCATACTATTTCACCATCACAACCACTGCTACCTTCACCATTAGCATCAGCATCAGTTCAAGGCGTTAGTATGAGCACCATCAAAGCTGGAAGTGGCACCAGAACCAGCATCAGCACTCCTGCTGCCATCAGCCGCCGCCGCAGCAGCAGCACACCCTCACCAGCAGCGCCGCCGCCGCCACCACCGCCACTGCCACTGCTACCGCAACCGCATGTCACCGCCACCGGCCGAACCTCCACCAGCATCCACCAGCTTTGGCCAAAGCATGGGCACAATTCAGTGAATGACCATCGTGTTCATGTCACAGTCTCCTATCGCTACACGAGCTTTGAGCAAGGGATCGTGCCGAGGCGTCAGGGCAGAGTGTCGTCGGCTGCGAAGTTATTGCACCTCGTTGAGGATGGACTTTTGGGGAAATGCTGGGGAGTCACATGCTTATCCAAGGCAAGTTCCCGTCCTTTCTAATCCTTTTCATCCAAGCCTGTGGCGGGCCGAGAGTGCGATTCCATCATGCGCGTGGTCAATGTAGTCACCAGCCATCGTAGAAGCTCCGCAGTGTTGGAGCCCGCACTTGCTGCATAGGAGAATCTGATCCAAGGTGTTATGTTCTTGCCCTGGGCGCTGATGGGCTACAGAAACTTGTTCCTTAAAGCTTACGGATTCCGAGACTCAGAGGCTAGGCATCGGCGTGTGTGGGCGGAGCCGTGCTAGCTAAGTCAGAGATGTGTCTCCTGCAGGTCGCGATTTTGTCTTCGGCCGGCCAGGTGCATGTGATCGGAATAGCCCAGAGACAGAGAAGTGTGCAAGACATGCTTAAAGACTGATAGCGGATAGTCCCTGATAGGCCTCAGCTGCGCTGGGCGCGCTGTTCGGTGGAGTGCTGGCCGACCTCTTGGCAAGGCGGGTGATCCGGTGAATTCTCGAGCGATGGGCGTGCTGCATCTGCCGCATCCGTGCAGTCAGTGCAGGTCGTTGCCTCTGCACGGACGTCCTTGCGTTGCACAGGCTGTTGAGAGCCCGGCAGAGGGCATTATGGTGTGTGGTTTTTACAATTGTGCAAAGTTGCTGTTATGAACTTTTCATGGAAGGTGTCTCTGGTGCTGAGCTTCCCACTATTTATCTTGTCATTTCTTGTCGCGCCCTCAGACTATCAGGATTACACTGGCATGCCCAAGAGGATTCACGTAAGGTCACACCACCTCGTCCGGGTGCCTTCTCCTATGAGATTTGCTTGGCTTGCGGCGCTGCGTTCGTGGCCAGCTGGACGGTGGGAGCCTGGGCCTTGGGAATATCCCGATATCAAAAAAATAGCATCAAACTAATACGCGGTTGCAAAAAAGCGGCAGTGCCTAGAGCGCAGCGCTCCGCTAAGGCGTGCTTGCCCATGCTCGCAGATCTCGCGCCATGGGGCAGAAAGAGCGGCATTCTAGCATGGCAAGGAGCTCTTGAAGGGGCTTTTGGCTGCCTGGTTACGTCTTCAATGGACGTTCCTGGCCAGCATTTCCAGCCTTGTAGATCTGAACTCCAACTCCTGCAGTTCATGGCATGCTCGTGAGGTTGTAGCTCCTCGCATATTTGGCTATGGCCTGGGGGCTGGGCGCCCAGTGGGTGAACGGTTTGCATCGATAATGCTGCTTCCTTGCAGGGCATTCCTCCACTCACTGGGCTGAAGCTCGTGGTCTCTGATTATGAAGCGTCCGTGAATGACACCGGGAAGTTGGGCAGGGCACTGCTTATTCAAGATCCAAAATCAAGTTATTGCAATGTTGGAGGTGTGAGGGATTTGCTTGGTGCAACGCACGCATCCATGTCCCGCACCACGCAGGATCTCACTTCACTTAGTGATCCTCATGACCGTGTCGGAAGCTGAGACGCATCCTTCGGAAGACATAAATCGCTCGCAAGCGGATGCTCCTGATGTCGAGGCACAGTTGGCAAAGGGCATAGTGGTGCTGATGGCGGCCTCCTGGAGCCTATGCTTCCTTTGCTACAGCTTATTGCAACTTGGCAGAAGATCTTGGGAGCAGCTTGCTGCGTGTTGATACACGAGCCCATTGCATTTCACCAAGGCACTGGAGCTACCCCAGGGACTTGCTGCGTGCTGCGTGCTTACGTGCATCTTTCATGCGTGAGCCCTCCGTGCTTTGTTCATGTGGCATGGTGTCAGGCTGTCTAGCCATTGCGCGTAGGTTTCAGAGTCCTTGAAGACTTCACACCAAGGCACAGCTCCTCAGATGCCAGGAGGCTGAAAAGGCGTGCGCGCTCAGAAGCCAGCGCGCGCCAACGGTCTGAATTTGGCATCCCCTCGCTCTGCCCTGCCTGCCTTTGGAAGCATGGCCTCAAAGCTGTGCCAGGGGGAAGGCAGTGCAAAAAGCGGCGCCTGCTTGAGTGGCAAGAATCACACGGGCTTGGGCAATAACCATGAGGTCAGAATTGATACAAGAGTGGTCCGAGCCCACATGAAAGAGCCAGACATGATGTGAAATCAATGCTTCCGCCCGCTTGCCCTTGCTTGACAGGCTTAGGGGAACTCTGAGACCCCAAGAATTGTGTGACATGGCCGGGGTCCCTTGGTCATATCCTGGCGAGACACCAGGGGACTCTTGCCCTCTGCATGCTGATCTGCGCAAATACAGTCTCGCCCCATTTCAAAGTGCAGTTCCTGTAGGAAGAACCCGTGCTTGTGCTGGCGGATCGGTCTCGCAGACAGACTGCCGCCTGACCGCACTGCGATGACTCTTTTGAGGTGCCTCTGGTGACAGTCTGCATCAACTCTTTTTCCTGGGCATCTGCGCATGCCACCTTTCTCTTAAACACAAATCCCGGCAAACCTGCCCAGCTGCCCAGCCATGGTGAACACATGTGAACACTTTGGTTCAGGTGACCCGTGTGTTGTGTCATTGGACTGGAGCTGGCAGGAAAATGCCAGGGGGCAAACCTGCGAGGTGCAAGGATGTGCAAGGGCTCCCTTGCATCGCACCGTGTTTTCCAGCAGGTCTTAATGCGCCGCTGCGGCGAGGGACATTGTGGAAGTGTGCAGGGCCGGCTCGCAGCCGCAGCTAAGAACAGCATAAATGCCCTCGCATACTCTTGCAGAAGGGGCAATCGGGTTACACTTTACTTAGTTTACTTGCTTGAACCCCGCGAGCTTCCTCAGTCTTCCGTTAAGAGGCTTGGCCACTGGCTTCATTCCAGTGGTGCAGCTGAAGTGAAGTTTTGATTTGGTAGGTCCCGAGTTGTGGCGTCGCCCGCTTAAATGTAGCAGGCTGCTTGTGGAAGTGCCCTAGGAGTTTGCTCGTCACGAAGCGCACTTCTCAGCCCTTCGAAAGTCGGGAGAGGCGGGACGGTAGCTGCAGGCTAGAATTGTAGGCTTGCACTTCTGGCGTGTGGCGGAGGGCAGAAGTGGTACCAGGATGAGAACTAGTGCTGGCCGCTTGCGCGAAGCAGCAAGCGGGGGCACCACTCTCAGATCTGCGGTCTTCGAGTAGGTTCCGTAGCTCCCTAGTACTCGATAGGGAATGCGGGCATGAATCCAAACCATGTTTCATTTCCCCGAATTTCTAGACCCAATGAAGGAAGATCCCATAGCATTCCCTTCAGTCCATTCCCGCAGTCCCTACCAAATACTGGGAAGTAGGTGTGGACTGGCAGAAGTCCAGTTCTAAAAGCCTGGGCTCGCCATCAAAAGATGCGTGAGGGCACAGTGCCAAGGCTCTGACATGCCAACATTGCACTTTTGAGTCAATAGAGCAGCTGATGTTAAGTCAAAATTCTTAGTGCAAATATGTGAATCATGGGCGCAAACTCGAAAAGTCTTGGCTGCTACCCAGCATTTGCCCTCGCCCGAATATTCGCGTTAAAAGCTTTTGCCTCTTTGCGCGGCCGTGCGTGCAATCTAGTTTTGGGTCACCCCCAATTTTCTTGAGTCAAACAGAAGAACGAAAGCTACGGCAGAGACGTGAAGAGCTGCAAGGAATTGGGAGCAGATTTGGCTGACACAGACCGGACGACATGCTGTTGTCCAAACTCTGCTGGGGATGGCGCAATGGTGTCACCCCATTTAATCCAGCGTAGTGTTCACAAGCGCTCACTTCATTGGAGGCTTCAAAATATGAGTGTCGGACCGCGCAACTGGCTGAAGCGATGTGTTTCAGAGAAGTTGTTATTGCAGCAAGTTGGCAGGTTGCAGGAGTGCGATCCGCATCTGCACCTGACAAGAACGCAGGCTCCATAGTATGATTTGCCAGGATTTACATATCTTATCCTGTCTAGCCTCCGCTGTTGCAGCTCACCCGTGGCAGGACAGAAGGATGCCCTTATCCGCAAGCTGCTGTCGGCACCCCGGGATTCTGACCAGATGTTTTGTTGAAAGCACGTCTGCCTGAATGCATAATTGTTCCACGTTGTCTGACAAGTGTTGCTCAAGCTGGCCGCATCCGCAATGGGAATGCATGTTGCGCCCATGAAGTTACACTGAGCCGCTTGAGGGGCTGATGCATGGGAGCTGCAGGTTCTGTAGGAAAACGCTATGAGGCTGGGCCGGCTGGGCCCTCTGCACCGGCTGCGCTGGGCTCGGCTCGGGGCCCTTGGCATTTGCCGCGAGGTGGCTGTGTGGTCAGCATTGCGGACTTTGATCCAAAGACCATTCAATGGCCCGAGAGTTGGGGGGTTCCGCTCACCCTCGAGAAGAGTATGGCGATCGTGGTCCTCAGCGATGATGGGGGGGACCGTGCATTTGGACATTACCTGGCTCAGCCAGAGCGGCGAGGCTTTTTCTTAAAGCATTTAACAACAGAGCTTAATGCTGCCGGTGCGGAGAAGCCAAAACATCCTGGCCTGCGGGTTCCAGGGCCAGCTAGTGCCGGATCTGAAAGCAGACTTTCAGGCCAAGCGCACCGATGCGCCCGGCAGCCTTCTCCAGTTGCGTCTAGTCCCAGCACGTTGGTAAGCACGCGCGTCACAGATGATAGTCCTGTTTCTCTTGTTTCGGGACCAATGACGGAGATGGGCGACCTTCATGTTGATGTCATGGCCAACCAAAGCAGGCCTGCGTCTTGCCCTGTCCGAGTGATGCAGACCAGCGACCAGGGCAAGCGTACAGCAGCAAAAGGAGGTCCACGTTCGCAAGGCGCAGAAAATTCAGGAACAGCTGCGGAAAAGACCGGCGAGGTCTGCGAGCAAATTGACAGTCGACCGGAAGTACTGAGGGCTGCTAGACATATAGGGCTGGACATGGATGGTGATTCGGTCCTCCTTTGGCTGGCAGAGAGCTATGCGGAAGCAGAGTTGCCGGACGGCTGGGTCATGTTTGAGGATGATGCAGGGCAGCCTGCGTACTACCATGAGAGGAAGAAACTCGTGGCCCGACAACACCCGATGCTTGCAAAGTATAAGGGTTATGCGGCCCGGATGCGGCAAACGTACCGGAGGATGTCTGACAAAGCTGCACTGCATGGCCCAAGAAAAATCCGAGCGCACTTAGCGCTTGTCTTAAACGAGGCCCTGAACAGATGCAACCGCGAGTTACCAGCCATCACGCCTGAGCTCTTGGAGCGAGCCGCGCTTCTGCTAGCTGTGGACACCAGCTCGGAGTTTAAGCTCAGCACGAAGGCCGCAGGCCTTTCCATGGCACGTTCCATAATATATGGCAATTTTGGCAGCCTGCGAGGTGAAGATGGCCATGGATGTTTTCGCGGAGGATCAGTATGACATCTCAGTGGCTGTCGGCGTCAAAGCTGATGTGGATGCATTCGTTGCCAGACTTCGGCAAGAGCAGATCCAGGATATAATGACGCAGCCAGACGGGATCATCATGTGTTCGGAGGTAGATGATCTACCTGCCACGGTCAAGTGCGAGGCCATGTAGCCATCTGAGATGCATGGTCTAAACTCCAAATGTGCTAGCTGCAATGTTGACAGGAGTGCATGGATTTCTTCAGTGCCGAGGGCTTTGCCAGATGCCATTCTACAGGCAAGCGGCGGCAGCACCATCCACTGAAGGTGGAGCAGCTTCTTGTCCCGGCAATGTCTATCAAAAGACCAGGCCTAGGGAGATCTCTACGCTGTGTGCAATCTCCATTCCATCCAAGGTGCGCCTGCTCGGTTTTTCCCAGGGAGCCCGCGACATGTGAGGCGGGAAGAGTCACAGAGATACGCCTGCTGTCCCAACCTGTCATCCTCATTTTAGGGTGAGACGTAGTACTTCCAGGTGGACGGACGCTACTTCTCGGAACGTGGCTACGTGGAGGCTGCGCAGCAAGAGCCAAGTCTGCGACTGAAGCACTGCCGATTTTTGGGCGGGCTTTCCTGCTCTGAATATCCTGACCCTCAGCTGCTCTTTTGTGTGGGTCGTCTCACCGAGTTGTTGTGCGTCTTTCTTTCAGTGTAGGGTGCGATAGGCCGGTAAGCTTTGTGCAGGATAGACGTGAGGGAAAATCATGTGGCAGTTGTTCAAAAACCTTGTCCCGAAAGCAGCCATAAGATACGTTTCCTTTGGTCAGGATCTGCCTTGAAGGTAGTGTATTCCCGAGGCTCCCTCGGTTGCTGGGACCTTTCCATGTACCCAGTGCACATAGTGTACTTTTTGTTTTGAAGAAGCTTTGCAAGCTATTGCCTGCTTGCAGTCAAGCACAGGAGAGGAGAGCGGAGGTCCTCTGTGAAGATTGCTGCAACCAAGCTGCCCTGGTAACAGAGGGACTATCGCGGTAGGTGTTGTTTAGTTGGTGGCGGTGGTCAGAAGCAGCACGCCCAGGCGATTTCTTCAGTACAGAGGCTTTCTTGGAGCGGCACGGTCATGGCCACCGGCAGCGACACGTGCAGCTGAAGCTGGATTCGAAGAATCACCTCTGGCGATCAGGATGCATAGTCCCAAATGACGAGGCAACGTCTCAGAGTCTCGATTGCTTGCGAAGGTTGGAATGCAACTTTGCAAAGCTTGAATGAATGCCTGCCAGGCCAGCCGCCTCGTGCGCAGAGCGAGAGAAGCTCGTGAGGGCGGACCTTGGCTAGCGTTCCGCGATGACCAGCTGACCACCTACTGGTACCATTTGCACGACAAAGTCGTGACTTATGACAACCCTTATTTCAGAGCTTCCGAAGCTTCTGTTCCATTGAAGTCGCAAAATGGATGCCGTAAATGCTTGCCTTGTTGTCCTTCTATGGCATGGCTGCATTGCAGCTTACAACCTTTCTCGTGGCATGTAGTGCGGCATTGTGACTTGCTGATTGACAGCAAAGCAGTTCACGCAGCATTCAACTTGCATAGATTGCACGCATGGTTTCCAGTTTACCCGTCGTCCTTGCGATGTCTGCACTTGAGGATAAACGGCATGCAGATTGGCACTTTCCAGGCCGCTTGCGCTGGGTGCTTGCTTGAGTGTTTTCTGCCATCCAGACTTGGTAGGAAAAAGGCGTTGGGAAGCCTCACATGGAGGACGCTGCTGGTCCAGGAGCCGCCTCAAGTGTAGGAGCTTTGCCTCAAGGATCGCTTGATCATCCGGGCCGGGATTCCGGTGGAGTCAGTTGGTGGCAATCCCGGCGTGACGACAAGGGTCAGCCGCTGAGAATCTGATGAAAGTGTTGGCGCGCCAAGGCGCTGGCTGCAAGAAGACTGTCGTCTCCTTGTTTGGCGTTTTCGATGGTCACTCTGGTGGCCCTGCTCGCAAGCAAGTGCATCCATTGCTTGCTCGCTCGAGCGTCGAGTCATGCAGCTGCTGGCAAGAGGCTTTTGCGTCTATCGCGTTTCACCAGGTGCATCTTGCAGTGACTTCGTCGCCACAAACTTGGACCGCGTGGCGTGGAACTGAGAGCGTGTTTTTTTAAAGCATTTCGGTGGAAGCTAATGGCTTTTATCTCAAAGTGCTCAAATTAGTGCTGCAGGTGTTCGAGTGTATCCGTCACCAGAACAAGAGGGAGGCTTGTACTCGTACTGATTGGCGCTTTGTTGCTTCTTGTTTATATTTTGCAATTCCGATATTTTTGGTGGGGGGGGGGGCGGGGCAGGCAAAAAAACCTTGCGTTTGATTTCCAATCTTGTGGCAGGTCAATAGCGATTTGGCCATGCGATCTGCCCTGCTAGCAGCTTTCCGTACAACGGAACACAATTTCTTCCAGTACGCGAACAGGCTTGTAAGTGCAGCAGCGGTTCCAAGCCTTTGATGGATTGAAACCGTGGCCATGGTGGGCTCCAGGCTTGATGCAGGACCTGCAGCAGCATGGACGAATGCAGGACAATTTATGATATAGCCGTTCCGACAGCAGTTTGGGAGATGCGCGTAGAGTCATGCATGAGGAAGCACAGCTTGTACTTGCACGTTCTACGGTCCAGATGAGGCACATTTGTGTCGTGGTTCTAAAGTTGGATATCCGGCATTTCGCATCAGGATGGTCGCTTGCGTTTGGCAGTGGCCAACGCTGGGGATAGCCGTGCCGTACTGGGCCGGAAGGACTCAACAATGAAAACAGCCAGCTAGACACCCTAAGACTTCCACGAATTGCAGGATTGCAGAGCAGTTCGGCTGTCCGAAGATCATACGCCGGGGCCGTGAGATGCAATAATCAGTTTGAACAATGAAGTTCTACGGTATTGCAAGGGTACATTTCTGATGTTGCATTTTTTTTTGCGCAGGCCCGATGTACCTGGTGAGCGCAAGCGTATTGAGAATGAAGGTGCAGCAAGGTTCTCAGTCCATGTAACGTGTGTGTCGTTTGTGTTTTCTTTTCCAACGTCCAAAACAACGTGCAGCTATGCTACGAGTTTGTTGTTGGTCGCCAAGGCTGTAGTGCAAGCCAGCGGCATTTGGAGAATTGTGTTGCCTAGCAAGAAAGCTTCAGCCTCAGCACCGCAACCGGCACCCGATTAGAGTACTGCAGACTACCCATGCCGACTTGCCGAGGGTACTGGACTTGCTGGTTTGTCAGTGTCGCGTGGATTCGGAGACATTGAATACAAGACGGGCACCAACGTGCCTCGGCTGAAGAAAGGTCTGTAAACAGGCTTTCAGGGATGCACAAGCCGTGTGACTCAGGTGGTGAGCGCTGTGCTCGGGCCTTGTATTTTTCGTTTCGAGAGCTCCAATGTTTCACATTTCAGTCAAATCCTTCTCAAGATTTCTCAGGCCCGATGTTTTCTTGTCAGCGCTAGACTTGCGTGAGGACGAAATTATTTTGGAGATACATTGTACGACAAAAATCGTTTCCAGTGTTTTTTAGGACTGCTTCGTGGTCATAGCCAGCGACGGAGTTTGGGGTCCGGTCTCGGACGGTGAGGCTCGCATGGTCAGCATGCTTGTGTATAACTTGCAAGGGGTGTATTTTTCAAGATTCTTGAAATATGTCATGTTTACCACCGTTCGAATACGTCGAGGTAAGCCAATTTCCGGCGCTACCCACCACATAGCTTGTGTGCCAGGCCGTGAGGATCGTGGCCGGGGCATTGCGCGAAGGTGGAGAGGCCGGCGGGAACCCCAAACAGCAGGAACTATGTATGTTACTCAATTTGTGTTCTTGCTTCATACAGTAATCATTATGTTTTGCCCTCGGAGTATGGTACACAATTTGTTGCAGCTGTGCTTGGATCGAACTTGTGGATGGGATAGTGACTAGCCCGGTGCCATAGGCTCCCATGACGAACTGCATTGAGTGGGTTGAACAGGGCGGATTCCGTTTGACACAGAACGGGTCGGAGCAAAACCAGGAATTGAAAGACAGCGTCAGCAGGGAAAATCAGCGGAAGTGTTGCATTGTTAGGAAAGATTTCTTTTCTGTGCGTGGGTCTGGGGGAGCTTCACTCACGGGAGGCTTATTCTTGTGAGACCAGCATGAAATGCAGCACATTGTGCTTGGAGGTCCAGTAGGCTTTTGGAAGGTCGCTGAGGCTTCAGCGTTGGGGACGCGGAGGGAGTAGTTACTGGCACGGGGACCACTGTAGTCTCCTTGAACATTGCTTTTTTACTTTTTACAGTATAAGCCCCAAGGAATTGTTAAGACATCATCATGGGCTATATAGGGTTATATAGGGTATATATACATTGGGTATATATGGGGATTATATTGGGTTATAATGGGTTATATTGGGGGTATATTGGGATTATTTTGGGATTATATATCTGAAGGAACAGTCAACACCTGTTGACCAACCCAGGAGCCTGCGGCCAACGCCGCACGGCAGCTCCTGGAAATCGCTCATCAACGGGATGGCCACGACGCCTTGACCTCAGTAGTCATAGGGTTTAGGAAAAAAAGGGTTTATATTCGGGTTATATGAGGACAACAGAAAATAAAATTGAAACTACTATACTAGGTTATATGGGGATCATAAGGTACATATTAGGAGCATTTTTACAAAATTCGGGTTTATATAGGGATAATGGAAACAGTCATAGTATGTTGGGGTTACATATAGGGATATTATAGGCATTATATAGAGGTCATATTGGGGTTATAGGGATCATATAGGGCTGATATAGGGATTATAGGGACTGTATTAGGGGTATATGGGGATAATGGAAAACATGGAAACTACTACAAGATAATAGGGTCTATAATGGGGTCATAAGGGAGCAGTTTTACGAATGATGGGATTCATACGTAGATACGATTTGGTTTGCTGATTTGACATCAGCCTTGCCCAGGACAAGACTGTGTTGGTCATTTGGTTCGGTGATTTGCCTTTGGCTCCACCAGCCGCGGAAAGCTCAGGTTGTTGGCCCATGATTCCTAGAAATTCCTAGTGTCCCCGGGGAGCGGGCTAAGGAGCGGCCTAGCGCGTACCCCGGCAGTACTGCGCGCAGTCCGTTCCTCAAGCATCCAAGAGTGGGTTGGTGCCGTGACTATCGTAGCAGTCAGAGCTCGTGACATCTTTGTAGACGTTCTGCCTGGTGATCTTGAGGCCGCCCCAACATCACAGGCTACAGCCTCAGAAAGCAACGGAAGCCTTCCTGTCCATCAAGCCACTTGTTACTTTGAACTTGATGAAACATCGCTGCTATGCTACCCTGTAGCTATTTTCCTGCTCAGAGCGAGCGGCCTCACAAGCAAAGCAAAACAAGAAGAACAAGGGTGAAGGGTGCGTTTTGGATAGTTCTCTTCCAGAGCAGCTTAAAGGCCTGGGCTTACGTAGTTCGATCTAGGGCGATTGCGCCCTCCATTCCCTACCCGATTCCTCCTTTGGTGCTCCATAGATGTCTTCGGTCGAGAGGCTCAACAAGACAGCTTGAAGGTTAATTAGAGACTTTCTTTGTGTTGCATGGCTGGCTGTTTGGCACTCCCCTGTCAGGGCGACCACCAAAGTGGCTGGCTGGTACGTCCGGCAACCATGCACTTGCTTTATGGGATGCTTGTTCGTGATGGCTCTTCGTCTGCAAGATGCATGGCCATCCCATAGGCAAGGCTACTTGTGCGCGGCAACTAAGATCGCGCTTTCGGGTCTTTCCGCCGCCCTTGGGTACATGAACCTGATGACGAGGGTCTGACCGTTTCTTGTGGTTCGCAAATGGCTGGAGTTGATTGCAGACAGATTCAAGATGGCCTTTTTCCTTAAACATGTGGTTGCAAGTAGTTACATCCTCGTACCGCACATGTGTGGCCTATACGATGACCAAGCAGCATTAGCCGCAGATCTTGGGCTCATGCGAGCAGCGAGCGTTGGCATGCCTGCTACATAGGTGTACAAGCCATGATGGCGTGGGTAATAGACAGGGCTCTCTGGAGCTTGAACGATACGGCTAAGCAAGTCAGTAAGCCCCCCAGTGGTATAGTACGTGTTTGCAGGCGCTTGCCAAGTGCGGCAACTGATTGCCACCAAGCAACTATATACATGGATTTGGCTGGTCTGAAGCGCGGCCCCCCCTTCGTTTTTCCAAAGTGGCCATCGCTGCCCAGCACGAGGCCTCTGTGTCAGGATGTGAGGCGCCAAAGCCAGTTGAATATGTTGCGTTTGCACCCTTTCTTAGGCTCTGCATGTGCGGTATGGATGTTGGCGAGATGTCGACTTTCAAAATTCAGAACTGGCTGCAGGGGCTTAGCCAGCATGGGCTTGCGGGACCTGAGCATTTTGATGGACAGCGAACATGCCTCAAAAAAAATTTGGTCAGGGTTGCGACGCGGCATCTCGCCCTTCTCCTTGGACTTGTCCCCAACGCAAGCAGCTGCTTTGTGCGCGCTCGACTCTAACCATGAGATGGAATCCCTGCTGCAGGAAGATGCTGTCGAGTCTTTGGCAGAGAGTGAGCATGTCGAGGGCTTGGGAGTCCACAAGACGCAGAAGTACCTCTTGCGGCTTCATGATGGATTGGCTGTTGAGTCTGTCCTGATACCTCTCAACTCCAGCCATGCCAAGACCGCAACGACGGTGTGCATCAGCTCACAAGTTGGTTGTGCTCAAGGCTGTCGCTTCTGCCGCACAGGTGACATGGGTCTCCTTCGAAACCTCTCTGCAGAAGAGATCCTAGCGCAGGTGGTTCAGGGCCGGCGCCTTGCACGAGAGCTCAACCTTCCAGAAGTGCGGAAGGTTGTTTTCATGGGCATGGGCGAGCCCCTGGCAAACATGCAGAACGTACGCACGGCCGTCGCTGCGCTGAGCGATGGGCATCGCATGGCCGTTGGGCGAAAGCGTCTGCAGGTCTCTACAGTTGGCCCATCTCCGGCCCAAGTCCTGCAGCTGGCTGGGATGCGCTGTGGGATCGTGTGGTCACTCCACGCAGCCAATGACAAGCTGCGTACGCGACTCGTGCCTACTGCCAAGCACAGAATCCTGGACTTGAGAAATGCCTTCATGCAGGTGCTGAAGTCTGGCGGTGGGGTGACACCCGATCGCCGCTTGCTCGTTGCAATGGTTATGATTGCAGGAATCAACGACGATGAAGGACACGCCCGAGAGCTGGCAGAATTCCTTCGTCCGCTGTATGAGGACGCCGATGTCGGGGTAGCACTAAATCTTATCCCTTACAACCCTAATCCTGGTCAAGAAGACCTGGGCGCTTCCGAATATAAGACGCAATTGCGATTCAGGGAGACGGTGAACGACGTGTTGCCATTGCTCGGGATACACCTTCGCCGAACTCGTGGCGCAGCTGGCTCAGCGGCTTGTGGGCAGCTTGCGACTTTGAAAAGAAACGCTGTTGATGGCACCAATGCAAGCAGGGTGGTCTGACATGGCATAGCAGGGCGTAATTAGGCATAGGCACTTGTCTCTGTATGGTCAAGAGGTCCGCGTGTCTTGCAGGAAGACACCTGGATGATCTTGGATGGCGAGATGACTCAGCATTTCCGTGCTTTTCGAGCAGCGCGCGATTCTGTAAGGGAGGAGGGGCTTTATCATTGAACAGTTGAACGCGTCAATCGCTTGCAACTTGACCCAGCTGTGACGTGCACATCCACGCCAGGAGTATGACACTACCACCAACGAGGCCAAAGACACAGAATCAGAAAGGAGCTCCGACATGACTAGTCTTCAATGCAAAGTTGGCCTGTTTGATGGCATGTTGGTTTCCAATCAGCAGTAAACCTCCCACGCAAACAGACTTGCATTCTGTCTCAGGCTGTTTTTCTTCTACAAGACCGATGTGGAGGGCACGGGCACGCTGTTCACACCAGATCGACTCCTGAGCATTTGCGAGCTCGAAAAGACTATGATGGTCAACAATTCCCTGGTGAAGGAGCTGTCCTTTGTGTAGGCACATGATTCAAATTTGTTGAGTCGCGCTTGCATCTGTTTCTGAGGCTGTGGCTACCGCGGATTCTGTTCTTAGCTTGTTCTATGGAACCGCTGCAGATCCAGCCATGCAATCCGTTCCAGCGGCACGCACTATCAGCAGCTACGACTGGAGTTGCCAGAAGCTGTCGCAGAGCGAAGTGGACAACGTGGTGAACATCATGCACACAGACCTTGCGAGCAAGGCAGGGCAACCATTGCAATCACCTTCTGAGTCCTTCACATTGATTGCTGTTTGTGCAAGGGCCCTGCATCACTGTATGCTCGGCTTCCCGTCTGCACTTTATTTCACATGCACGTGCCAACATGTGGACTTTGCTTTATACAGGGTTCGGACGATCGAATCCGAAGTTGTGTGTGGTGAGCGGCGTGGTGGGGTAGGTGGTAGTTTTTCCCCACTAAGCAGGTAGTGGTAGCAGGACTCTAGCAGGCAGAAATCTAGCCGTGAAAGAAGAAGCTTCGTCTAATACGCGGTCCATGACCGAAGACCAGGTTTCGGAAGTGCCCATTCAAACCAGGACTTCCCCACTCTTCATACGCAATTTTTTGTATGTCCTCATCAGCTATTTATGTAGACACATGCTTCGCAAAAGGTTTGTGGACCCTCACTTCCGCAACACGTCGCAGACAGCTTACTCGCGCACTTTCGCCGAGTTCGAGGCCCTCGAAACATTCCAAATTGCCTTTAAAGTTTGGGTGCACTCTCCCTGCGAAGAAGTTTCAGGTGGTTCCCAAGCAGCATGAGAAGACCATGAACCCGGCGTTTGAGCACTTAGGGCTGTCCTACGGCTTCCTTCGTTCTGCCTTCCAGGGTGATGAAGACCGGTTTGTCCAGTCAGGTGCGGAGAGTCACACTGCAAGTTCCAGTGTGGGGGCTGAGTCCCAATGCCCCCATTCCAGGTGACATTCGAGTTCGTGTGACCTACACCGGGATCAATGAGATTCAAAAGATGGCCCTTCCTGATTTTGGTCTCTCATTCATTTCGGTGGTCCTTGTCTTCGGCATTTCGCGTGAAGCTCAGCTGTGCCATCACTTTGGGGCCTGATTAGTTTACTTGCCTTCGTTTCCAAGCAATGATCAGACAGAGAGGTGGCTCCACATGAAGTCCAGTTTCATGGCACTTGCGGCCATGATCATGATGGTTTTCAGCTCAGTGTGCAGCGAAGCAGAGGGCCAAGCAGAAACGCACGGAACATGAGCTGCTGTATCTTCAATGCTGAGATTCTGACACTGCCAATCGCAGCGCTCTTCTACCAAGGACTCACGCTTTCAAGGGATCTGATGTGTGGATTCCTGTTGCTGAGAAGTGTCAGTGTGCCTGGCAAGGCGTCTTCCGGATTGAGTACTTTGAGTTCCTGCACATCTTGGTGGTGTACCTGGTTTTGGGCATCGGTGCGGATGACGTGTGTCTTGGAAGTGCTTATGGCATATGGGGCGAAGAGTGTGGGGCTTCCTCAACAACTCGAAGAAGATGGCAGTTGCTTCTCTCAGTCCCGTGCAAGGTACGTATTCAAAGACACCTTTTGCCATGTCAAGAAGGCCTGGCAGCGACAGAGCACCCCACAGCACCCCTGAGACGCCAGCTGCACACCTGAACCTGCCTGAACCCTGTTGTAGTCCTTCAAGTCTCTGTCCCTCCGCTTGCACACGGCATTTTAGCCTCCCCAGGCCGAGTTTCCATTCGCCAAGCCTGGCCGACTGACAGAGGAGCAGGAGCTCGGAGCTTTCGCTACTGACGCATTATTAAGCCCATGATGTCAAGTATGGCTATGTTTGTTTCGTCGTTCTTATTGGAAGAGGCATCAGGCCTACCTGTCGTCTTTGACCAGCCATCCATGATCGCACACCTACCACTCCTCTGTCCTTCGCTTGCATGTGTATTTTCCTTGGTTGTCCATGTCACTTTGATCTGTCATTTCTCTCGCCAAATGCAACCAGAGAGAACCCTTAAGGCTAAGACCCGAAACCCTTGTGGGGTTCAGGGCTTAGGTTTGGTGAAGTCTTGCTGCTGCGCATGGAGGTTTTAGAGCAAAAGCTACATCGTCGCGATGGGTTTGGAGACCGAGTGGAGACACCACTCAGGGCTTAAAGTAAGCAGCAGGAGATTCGCGTGTTGGCGCTAACGTTCCAGCGCGCTGGCACGGCTATCTTCAACACCTCCTTCACCACCGCCCTGGCCTTCGCCTCTTGCTCTGTGTCTCGGCCTTCAGCAATCCAGACTTCCACTTGACTTTGCAGGAATGCAGAGTACACAAGAGTACAGACATCCGAAGCTTTGATCAAGTTGAGCTGCTGAGGTGTCCAAAGCAATGCCGATGAGGACCTGCGGCTGGTATGCAGCTTTGCTTAAGTAGGCAGATCACCTGCGCCAGCTGCGCGGTTTTCTTGAACAGTTTGGTATCTCTACTCAGGCAGCAACATGCATAGTCACTTTGTACGCTGGGGACTTAGTTTGTCTTGATCCGCTCATTTCTATTCGGCTTCATGGGACACATGCGCAGGTCTTGACCCTGGTTTACTACCCGTCTGCTGTCATCTTGTGGCATCGCCGATTGCAGTCGAAGCGCTGCTGCTGCCCTAGCTTGGGCGAGCGCCCCATGGCCATCGTCCCAGAAGGAGCCACGAAAGAGAAGAAAGTGGACGACGAGGCGAATTGCCAGCAAGCATACAAACTGTCACTTTCATGACCGCCTGCTGCATGTTCTGCGGCGAGGTGCCAGAGGAATCCGGGGACTTAGTAGAGAAGTTCTTCGAACGTTTCTACATCCCAGCAACTTGTTTGCATAGGTGGTGTCATGTCATCCCATTTTTGTTAGATCGATTTGCATGAGTCCCATGAGTCCCAAGTGTGAGGTCATGTCAAAGCAATTTGGCGGGGTCCGCATCTACGCTTTGTTTCTTATGCTCCTACTCCTGGGGGTAGCTATTCAAGGCCAACCTTCATGTGCCGGGATGGGTTGGACCATGTCCACGCTTCATTCCTGTGTGGTAGTTTCCCAAAATAGGGGACCTCAATATAGACCCCAAAATACTTTCGTCCTTATTCTGGGGATCCCCAAAAGGGTACCCCTAATTTTGGGAAACCCCCGTGTGAAGGAATCGCCTTTGCAATGCAGCTGACGCCTCCGCGTTCTGAAGAAGTCTGGTTTCCAGGATCCGGGCTTTGAAGGGAAAGAGGTGCAACCTATATTGGGGTTATATAGGGATAGTGGAAAATCAAATGGAAACTACTATAGTATATTGGGGTTATATAATAGGGAAAATGGAAAAGAAAATGGAAACTACATATTGGGGTAATATTGGGGTTATCTAAGGGATAATGGAAAATAAAATGGGAACTACTATAATAGGGTAATATTAGGGTTATTTGGGGTTACTATGGTACCCAGTAATGGTGCAGTGTCTTTGAAGGGCTAGAAAGGCCGTCTGGCAGAGAGAAGAGCTGTTGCAAACACAGACAAGCTTGATGTCTGTGCAGCTGTGAATGCCATTTTACATCTAGGGTGAACTTGTGCCCACCAGTATCTACTGATCGACTCAGAAGCGTCTGGATTTTGCAGGAAACCACATGCTTCTCAGCATACAAGATTTCATGGCAGACAACTACTACACCCCGTCCTTCGACAACTATGCTGCCAGGGCCTTGGAAACATGTGATCCATTCGGCTTCCAAGTGCAGAGAGCAGGTGTGTTTTTACAGAAGCGGTGGGATGTACTTTGCTAACAGGCTTTACAAGGCAGAAGTTGCTTGAAGTGTGGCAGATCGTAACAATCTTCTTCGGCATCGCTGGCTTGGACAAGACCGGCATCCAGGTCTATGATCCAGGCGCAGGGAACCCTTGCATTCCAGCTGAATGCCATTCTTTTGCTTCCCCTCCATGTGAAATTATCGTGATTACTGCTACCACTAGTCTTATTATTGTTAGTATTATGATTATTACTATCCCTTACTCGCTCCCTGTGCTCTTTCTTTGACTTTTGCGAAGGAGCGTTTACTGGCACTGCCATCTACGACAATTCCTTCGATCTGACTTCTTCCGAGGACGGGTGTGCAACAGTGTGAAACAAAGGCATTGCTTCCTCGGTCTCAGGCTCAGACCGCGTTGCTGGACATCTGTGGAAAGGTCCAGAACATCACATGCGACTTGCAGGCTGGAAAGCTGGGGAAAGCTGGAGCGACACGCTGATTGGATTGTAATGGACAGGGCTGTGACAACTCCGGCTATGACAAGAAAACCTTCTTGATGCAAACCACGGAGAGGATGGGTACGCGCAGGGTACGTGCATGCCTGGGGTCCCGAGCTTGCACGACAGGAGGTTTGGAAATCGCCTCGTGAGGACCGATGCCTGCTTCCTGAAAGACTTCCAGACTTGGCTGAACGGGCCGTTGCCAACTGGCACAAACTTCACAACTCAGCTCAAGACCTTCCGCGACACAGCCAACGTAGGCGGGAGGCACAAAAAGTAATGCAACAGACCTTTCCTGAGCCAATGGTGGCGAGTGGAAAGTATTAGAAGGGACCCCACTCGAAGCCCAGCACCCCAAACAATAGTTCTGGCAGGTGACTACTACGGTGATGTCTTGAGGAAGGAAGTGAACTTCAAGGAGGAAGTACACCGCCAGTGCTTTTGAGAAGCCCAGCTACTATTCAAGATGGACGTAGCCTTGGAAGCCGCGCAGACTAACATTTACATAGTGCTTCAGCCAGCATTGCGCAGCTCCCTGGAAAGATGTAGGCCGCTAGTCCATGCCCAACCCTTTGCGTGCTGCAGATCCTGCAGGACATTGGTTTCATCAACGGTGAGCTGAAGTACGTCGCAATCAAGTTCCGCAGCGTCATGAAGAAGCGGCTGCCATTCTCCATAGGCAGCTTTGTCCAGGGCTTTCGCAATTCAGAGCTGGAAAGCGACCTGATGGCATCCCTGCAAGGAACAGAAGTGCGAGACATGCTCCGTGAGTGGACAAATGGTCAAAGAGGCCTGCTAACGGAATTGCGAGCTGCTCCAGTTTCCCAAAGCACTCATTTTTTTACCCTCCAGGACAGCTGCCCGGCAGCCTGCAGAGCATGAAGTTCCACGGGAACGGAGAATTTCAAAGGCAGGTGGAGCAGTCCGATTTTCAGATGCTTTTTCAATGTTTGCGGTTGGCCAGTGCTTCAACAGTAAAGCTCCCTTCGCAGGTATGATATGGGAGAGGAGCTCATCAACGGGTTGTTCTCTGGCATTGCGAGGGTCTCATTCGCGAAGTACTGCCAGCGAGGTATCCATCCGTGAGAGTGCAAAATGCGTGTGCGTCCCCAGGCCATTGCGATGCCAATCTCCTTTCTTGTTCTCCTCAGCTCGACGCAAAACGTCGTGCGTGGCTCAGGTGTTGCTGAATCCAAGCCTTTCAAGCTTCTCAATGCAGATCAAAGGGGTGTCAAATGCCAAGACCCAGGTGGTTGCCATCTATGCCGTGTTAACCGTCGGCTCTATCGCTACTTGGCAGGGTGCGAATTTCACGTTTCTCGTCAAATGAAGGATACTTGACTGACCTTCCCATCATTTCAGGTGCTTTGCGTTCTGGGCTTCTGCAAGAGTGCCATGGACTGGGACTTGGGCATAGGCACACCCAATGTACGCGAGAGTGGCCACACATTCCAGCTAAGCCCGGCAAGACCATGTCAGACCTGCTTGGAGGCGAAGCCATTGCCGGTGTGATTGTCATCGGATACTCCGTGGACTATGTGGTGCACTTGGCTCATATGTATTGTGAAGCGAAACATTTCGGCCATCAGACGCGCATCTGGTTCGCAAGGAGTCGGTGTACAGCATTGTAAGCACGTTGCACCTGTGACTTCCCGGACTCCGTGTTTACAAAAGGCGATGAGCGAGCGAAATTCGCTATTCGCAACATGGGCTCAACCATCTTTGCAGGCAGCCCGCTTGAGAATATGCTATGGCTCCTGCTAAGTGCTTGTAGATGTCACCCTTATGCACATTGCCTTGGCGGTACCGTGACTAAATCCGCATGCGTGTCTTCACCTGAAATGCAAGTGAGGCGCTCTGACAACGATGCTCGCTGGTGCCACGATGTTCATTTGCTTTTTTTACTTCTTCATCAAGATGGCCTTGCTGATATGCGTCACCATCATGTGCCCCAGTCCCGTTTTGCAGCCAAGTGCATCTGTTGCAGCAACAAAGTCATACCTCCTTACTCAATCTTCACAGTTGGTGAGCGGCATCACTTTGACAAGCACGCCCACCTGAAACATTCTGATGCCTGTGGATGGCCCTGCGTTTCAGGTACTCGTTCCTTTACTCCTTGGTCTTCTTCATGGCAGTCCTGTGGCTGGCAGGAGTCCGGCTTGTCAAACTGCTGGCAATGGAAGCTCTGTACCAGGCTGTAGAGTAGTAGTAATAGATACTGTGCCACGAAACTAATCAGCCAGATTGTAGCTGTAGTGAGTGATGTTAAGCTGGTAGGCACATTGCAAGAGGTGCTTGCAAGGTTGAGGTAAGCACCTGGAAGCACATTCAAGAGATATGAGGGCCAAAGGAAGGGGGACCGCTTTCCAGCTACATTGCTCTTGCATGCAGGACCGGAGTACAGCTTCGGCTCCTGGGCTTCAGGAAGGCAAAAAGGCATCTGGCAGTTGGCATTTGTGGTTGCATGATGCGAAAGCTAAGCTGAAGAGGGCAGCTTCTGGATCTGGTACAGCAGTCGCCTAGCAGTGTGCCAGAGCGCGTATAGCGTGCAGATCTCCCAGGCTATTTGTGTTTGCCAAAGTGGTGCACGGGCGACTCGCACAAAGAGCACGAAGTGTCGATTGTTAACAAAGACATCCAGGCCATGTGGTCTGAGCGAAAGCCCGAACCAGCCTCAAAGTGTATCGTTGGCAATGCGCAGGAGACTAACGCTGAGGAAGTGGTGAACAAAGCGAAAGAAGACAGGTGGCACGAGAATGGAGAAATCAGTGAGCAGGACCTGTCAGAAGCTTCATTGGTCCGTTTTGACCTCGCGTTGCCGCAGGAGCTGGATGAAGGAACCCGCAGCATTCAAGTGCCCTGATCAAACAAGCTCCGGATTTATGTGAAGTGCATGAGGTGCTCCCGGAGAGCGCTGCCGGGAAAGTGGAGCAAGAGCCCCCATGTACCCAATTGCGATTGATTGCTTTGAGGGTGCCAAATTTATCGACCAGCGCTGTTCAGCAATTTCTCCTTGAGTATGGCAAGCAAACAACTCGCATCGTGGGGCCACCCAAGCTCAGCTGCACACAGGCTCGTTCGCTGAAGGCGGCACCAGCCTCACAGGGAAGTCAAGTCTAGCTTATTCTTGGGTTGATGTTATGAGCATGTGTCAAACCCATGCTTCCCCCATTGCAGCTGAGCATAGATTATCATTTCGGCTTGATGGAGGCCCTGAGCTATCCGGAGCCGGGGCTTTCCACAGCTATCATCTCCCTGCACAGTTTGTAGTTTCCTTTGCATGTTATTTCGGTCCTGCTGTGAGCTCTGCACTTCTGTGCTACCTACTGTTACCTACTAGTCTCACCAAAAAAAATATCTTGAAGTACAACATGTTGGCTCGCAGCAGGGTGGCTGCATTGGTTTGGAAGCCAGGAAAGTCAGGGAGCCGTTTGTCAAGCGGAGGCCGCCGGATTGGCGGTGCACTGAATACCCTTTCTTTCTGATGGCATCCAGGACCTTTGCCTTATTCCCTTTTTGCCTTCATGCAAGAAAGTGAGGTTTCCGCCCAGAAGTACAGGATCCTGCTCCCCAAACGGGGTGCACAATTTCCAAGTGCTGCGCGGGAATAGGGTGCTGCACAGTCAACTTGGAGCCCTGGACCATGAAGATCATTATTGAAGGCTCGGTTGAGCAGACTGTGTGCACTCCGCTGCGTGCACTCGGCATTTTCCACGGTGGCCACGTCCCATTTCCAAGCAGAAGGCCAAGGGCCCCTGGGTCGCGAAGTCAGGCAGGACCGCGACTGCGTTCATGTGGGGGACAAAAAGAAGACCAGCACGATTTGCTAAGAGCTTGGAATCGCACAGATCCTTTACTCCTTTCTCTTTACTTCCAAGGCGTTCCCAACCGGCCTGTAGCAGGCTTGGCGGACGACATGTTCGCCTCTACACGGCACCAGCCTCATTGCTGTTTTCCAGAAGGCATTTTGCCACAGAGTCGAAAACATTTGTAATCTGTATGGTGCTCACCGCATCCGTGGAACCATCGCAATGTGGGTCATGCTGTCGTGGAAAGCGGTTCCAAGAAAGCCATCACTGCCATTATGCCAGCACCACTTTTGAAGTGGAAACAAGCCGATACGTAATTATTCGTCCCTGTTGCCAAGCGTGTTTTCTTCTAGTTGTTGAATTACGGTAGTTGGGTAAGCATGTGTTGTGTAAATGAATAACTTGATCGTGTGCTTGTAAGTGTTTACGCTTGATACCAGTACGAAGCACAGTAGAAAAAACAGGCTGAGAGCTTTACTTGTTGCGAGGATTTTCTGATTGTTGTTGCGGTTGGCCAATCTTGGCCAGAGTTTCGTTACTGCCGCTACTACTACGATGAATACCTCAGGAGTGGCGATCTCGACAATCTCTTTGCCTCCTACGCGAAGGAGATCCAGAAGTCCAGGTGCCTTCTCAGAAGAGCAGCCTTTCAAAATCATCCCATGTTTAAGTGGTAACCTATAACTTCAGCGCTTCTCAAGACCATGGATCCCTCGTGCAGATCCTTGATGAGGATGCGATTGTGTTGGGCAACCCACACCATGGAAGAGGCTATTGAAGAAAGTTCGTTGTTGAAACAACAGCAAGGCTCATACACATGTTGTGACCATTCGGCTGCATTTTCCTCTGCATCAATACCCATCAAACATGACAGACAGAATAGCTGCAGCCAAATCAGACACGAAGACAACATTACTTTGATTTGATGCGATGAAATTTGGGGACACTACGGCTGCGGTGATTATAATGATATCTCCATGTATCTCCACTTCTGCGGGAGATTAGTTCAGATGTGTATTAGAGCATTTGGGCCTTCCCCACCCAACGCAGGACTCCAGCTTTGAACGTGACTAGAAAACATGCAGTGGCCTTGTCCGACAGCATGCTGCGAGCTGCCTTCCCTGCATAGCACCATAAGGATTATTCTTATGAGCTATAGTCTAAACTCCGTAGAGGGGATCATATACAGGAGTATTATGGGGTTATTACGCGGGATGCTAGAAGTTTAGACTACGGCTTGTATGACTGATTTCGAATTGACTGGCTGGGGCGCATGTCACCAAGCATAATGGGAAGTGTTAGCATAGCAGTGTACGAGTGCGAAGCCCTTATTTGTAAGATGTATATGCCAGCATTGACCAGATCCAAGAATGAAAGTACTCCACTCAATGTTTGATGTTGTGGTTTCCGATTTCCCCAGTAAACCAGGCATTTGCGGCAAGGTGTTGCTCTGCTGCTTGTCAACAAGAGATTGTTCTGACAGGTGACGCTTCACAGGACGACCCAGTCCAAAGGTCCAGCTGCTCTTGAGCCGCGCTTTGGATGTCTCACGGACAAGCCCGGGCTCCCCATCCTGCATGCTCAGTTACTCTAACTTTTCTTTTACGAGATGTTACGAGACGGTGCCTGAGTTCGTCTTGCCACGGAGGTGTTGGTAGTGGAAATGCTGGTCGGAAAAGAGCGTGCGTTGTCCTCTGCTCGCACGGCCCCGGCGAGACACAACGAGCTGAGCCTCATGCGCAGCCCATTTCTGAAGCTGGCTCTGTGTCTATTTGGAGGAGCTGCGGGCATGTTAAGAAATGCATGGACACCCCAACCAAGATCATGGGGCGGTTGCCCAAGTTCTGCACCGCAGGCGAGTGCTTGCAGTGGTGCATGTTGTTCAGCAGCTGTTGCGCCTAAACTGTAGTGCAGGTTCATTCATGTGGCGAACGATTGCGAGTCCACGCGCCCTTTTCCACATTCAGCGGAGCCCTTTCAGTGTGTTTTCTGGCTTCTCAAGCCACTCGACTTCACTGCAGGCCGGAGTCCGGCTAGATTGCATTGTTCTGAAAGCAGATGGCATGACTTTTTCCCGCAGGCGCTGCATTTCGCGGTCGAGTATCAGGGACGGAGTCTTGGCGGCGTTGCAGGCCAGGTGGGAGCCGCTGTGGGTGAAGGCTTGCTCCTAGCTGCCCCATTCAGGCAGACGAGCCTGATTCGTTGCCGGGCTGCAGACAGCAGTTCTTCCACATGCTCGCAGCAAGGCAACAGTTGGCATGCAAGGATTTGTTGACAAGCTCAGGTCTGGCACTGGGACGAAAAAAGAAGAAAAACGTGCACGACGAAAGCAGAAAAAGAAGCAGAAAGCAGCTCAGAAGGCTGAAGCCGCCAAGCGTCTTGGAATTTAGCAGAGGATCACCTGGTGTCAAACCTCACGTTCAAACCGCTGCCGAGGAAGGGAATGGCCGAGGACAACGGTCTCTTGAACATTGTGCAGCACATGCTGCAACAGCGTGGCAGGCACATCACTGGTGGCATAATGTAACACTCGGCGGCATACCGTATGGAGTACTGTATGGACCAGAAAATGATAAGGGATCAAAAAATGGATCTGATACAGCAGGGATCATCAACACGCGGCTTGGTTTGGATCAACAAGTAATGTCCGGGAAAGGGCTGCCTTCCCCAAACACCACCGCTTTCGTGCCATGACCGAATCGCTTCGATCGACATCGATTCATCGATTCGATTTCCAGCGATCTACGGCGATCCTCCGATTTCCCATCCACCTCCCGCTCCCACTCCCACTCCCACCTCACCTGCCACCTCCCATCTCCCCTCTCCCCTCCCACCTCACACCTCCCACCACAAAGCCTGGTATGCAAGCTTGAAAAGAGCACTGTCCAATTTGTGTACCAAAGCAGGGGCCGTCTGACCACCATGATGGCACATGACTGTTTTTTTTTTTTTTTGCGCCCATGCACTCTCGGCTTGACTCTAGCCTGTGCTGTGGGAGCAGGCTCCGCTCAACCCAACCTTGCAGCGCTACGGCGGGGGCACGGCTGCCATATCGGGCCGGCTAGTCTCGATGCCAGTTGTGGCAGCCTGGCCTTTCGGTACCTCGTGTCACCTGTGCAGCTGGAGGGTCAGGTTCTGAGTAGGCAGCCTGAAGCGAGCCTCCGGCAGCAATCACGGCGGCCACAGGCAGCAACACGAAGTCGTTCCACGACACCCTCCACACGCACAGCCCCCAGCTCAAGCAATACTTTTGCAAAAACACGAGGGCCATGGCGGCACAATGATTCCCCTGCCCCTACCCGCCTTTGAGCTGTGCCTTGAGCCAGAATGGCTACGGTGCGAACAGGCTGGCTTCTCGTTGCAGCCCGCAAGGGTGGACGGTGCCCAAACAGCATTTGCAATGGTGCGAGATTACAGCAGGCGGACCTTTTCACAGGCAGATGCCACGGAACCCCCGGAGCCGCTAGACATCAAGGCCGTGTGCTGCCCGCTTGGCAGGCCTGCAATGGGCTTTCTCGAGTTGCTTGGCCGGGCTGTGCACTGAAAGGCATCGGTTCATGGATGCCAGAGCCTGCTCTCCATGCTCGGTTCCAAGCCTTCGGCCGAGGAGGTCGCGGCAGCCGCCACCGCACACTAGCAGTGCGGACAGCCCTGCGTGCTTGGGCGAGCTTACAGCTGCCCGGCATTCCCTTGTGGCCGAGCCCCTGGCCCCAAGGGACGAGAACATGCTGCACCAACTGCGTGGTCCTGCCTGCTGCCCAGCAGAGCTCTATGAGCCACTTTGATCCCGACGGTTTGTGGTGGAACCCAAACTCCGCGGTCGATCTCCCACGCACAGCGCTGTTCGCCAACTCATGGCGAGCCAGGCGTGGCGATGCGATCGATGCGCCCGGCCTAAGTGGCGACACGTCAGAGACAATGCTGACAAGCGAGAAACGTAAGCGCGTTCCAACATTCGCTCGGAAAAAACGCGGGGAAGGATTTGGAGTGGAAAGACGTCTTCTTCATTCCCTCTACTCGAAGATTACGGAATACATTCCCCCATGCTTTGCCG